AACACGGAGAAGCAGCATTCATTCTCTATGTACCACAAATGTGAAACAAACTGCCAGAAAACTACAAAACAGTCAAAACACTGAGTTCCTCTGATCAGTAGTAAATGGAGCTTTACTTTTATATATTTGATGTGTGTTTGCTTGATGATTTTGATGATGGCAAATGTCAAAATGTATAGGCAGTGGCAGAATTTATCTACCCCTGCCTATAAAGCGAATATTTCAGTGAGGTAAAAAGCTTTGTTTTGCTTCAGTATAATCCATTGTGTGTTCTGACACATTATCTCTTTAGGTTAGGGTCAGTGGACATTTTTGTTTGACTGAAAACACTGGAGACATGCACGGAAGGAGGGAGGGAAATGATGCAACAAAAGGCCTGCCAAGATTTGATTGAGGCATGTTGCAACTCAAGGTCAGTGTTCTTCTCAGCATGGACGCTTCTTTTAGTAGAAGTAAAAAAGAAAAAAATTGAAATTCCCAAATCTCACATTTTTCTAACGTGCCTTCTGTAGATACACCTCTGACCTTCCAGAGTCTCTCTGCTTTCAGTTTTATCTTTAGTATGTGAAAGACATGGTTAGTTGGAGAAATACCAACTAACCTCCTCCTCTGTTGAATAAAATCAGAAAGCATGTCCTCTTTTTGTTACATTAAATATTCAACTTGCAACTAAAATGAATGGTAATTGCTTCTAAATGAGACATGAAATCCCATCTTCTCTTACCAAAAGCAATTTCATGTATTAACAAGTGAAATATAATAAGAGTACTAGCACTAAGGCTCCCGTTCATGAAAAGTCTTTCCAGCTGGTGGTTTATTCTAACAGGTGAAGTTTCTGGGGAATACATCAATAGATCAGCGGTCTATAATTTATTTTTTCCAGTAGTCTGTTGTTAAGATATACAGTAGCGTGAAAAAAGTATTTGACCTGAAACAGAAGTCTCCCATGTTTGCTTTTTGGTCATATTTCCATGTTTCAGATTAAACACTGCATGTCAGGCAATAACCTGCTATCCAACTCAATATAGCCTTATATTAAAATGTAAATTACCCTTTGATAAAAGGGCAGGAAAGCAATAACGACCTATTTTGAATTAACTATGATTAACATAATTTTTTTGGGCTGCTGATTTCAATTTCAGGAGACACACCCAGGTCTGATTACTACAGAGTCAAGAAACCCCTTAAGCAGGACCTGACCGATCCCCAATCGCTGCACTTTTGATGCAAACGTCGACCTTTTTGAGAGGAATGTGTCATTTGAATGTTACGTTACAGAAAAATATTCTACAAGTAAACATCAAGTTGGTGGAGTCTGGAAGTGTTTTGCTTCGTCGGGACCCTGATAACTTGCAGTAACTGATGTAACCATGAATGGAGAGTTCAGTCACCAGTAAACTTCAGCTCATGCGCACTGGAAGTTTTATGCAGCTGCACAATCCTCTAAGCCATACCAGTGAGACCACCACTGTCTACATTAAAGGTGATGGAGTGGCCTAGTCAAAGTCTGGACAAAAAAGCAGACTGCGATGTTGTAGCATTACCTGAAAGGATATTCTGGACCAAAAACCTTCTAATGTAATCATTATTTGAAAAATGGTTTTTTATTTCCTCTGGTTTTCTTTGACTCATGTGAAAATTTTACTGGTTTTCTTTGAAACTTAGTAATTCACCACCGCTGGCTCAGTTTCCTACTACTTCTTCCACATGTTGCATCTTCATTTCTCTGTGATGAACATCTTTTCATTCTCCAGATTCCTGATCTCTTGGACATTTTCCAGATTTATAATCAGGCTCAGGCTTTTCATGTGTGAGCATTTACATCTTTGGCGTGTCCATCATCAAAGTTTCAGTTTGGATCCATATTTCCAATTTTCAAGATCATTCAAATGAACTTTGAAGCATCTGTTTTTTTTTTGTTTGTTTGTTTGTTCTTATTTAGGTTAAATATCTGTCGCCAAAACAACTTTAAGAATTATTTAATGCTTGTCTGTCTTTTCAGAGACCCCCTTCCTCTTAAATAGTTACAGGTGCTTTGAGCAACAGAGATTGATCAAAGTGATCTCAGTCTTTGAATAAATAATTATTTGCTTTGATCATTCATAGTCCAGTTTAATTTGGTCAATGTATATCACACCAGTTCATAGTAAATTTCTTCTTGAGGGAGTTTAGCAAGACAAAAGGCTTCCATTGATATCAAAATCGTAAGAATTGGGTTCAAAATCAGTTTCGATCATTCCAACACAATTCAAATATATATTTAGATTCTGATCTGTTTACATACAATGTAGTCGAATTCAATGAAGTGTGAGTAAAGCAGCATTTGCATTTACATTTGTATCATCTTTGAGGTAATTTAGTATTAAACCTATTATTTATTTTTGTTCTAGTCAGCTAAATTTACTAAAATAAAATGTAAGAATTAGAACGACTAAGAGTCCAATACTATTCTGATGTTAAATTATCTCTTGTACAAGAGAGTTTTTTTTTCTTTTTCCCACTCATCCCTATTTGGCATCCAAACACTGAAATACGGATGTCACACTCCCAAACGAGCATGTGAGAGAAAGTGGTTGAAAGACAGCAGCTTGGAGGTAAACAGAAACCTCTGCGGCCTTCTAATGGAGGGCTCTGGCCCTGAATGCAGCTGTTCACAATAGACGTTTCATGCCTCACTGTGTTTCAAACCACAAAATTCAGTGTGCCGCTCCCCAGTGTGGTCCTCTGTGACTCGGCCATTGAAAACTGTAGACTCAGCCTCTCTGGCCCACAGCACACATTCACACTGCCACAGCGCGATGACACGGGTGAAATGGAAAGAATTCAGAGACAAACGGAACGACGGAGAGGAAAGCAGAGGCAGAGAGGAGCGCGGCAACAGGCATGTAAATGGATGGGCCCGGAGTGAGCCCCCACCGGCATAAATAAAAAAAATTGTAGCACCAACACAAGAGGCAGATTAACTTCGAGCCAACTGAGTCCCTCGGCACAGAGCTCTGCTGTGCAGCGCTTCCCGCCTGACGCAGTGTGCTGCGAGGCTGACGAGGGATCCCTCCTTCACAGCCTGCTGGACGGTGGACACACATCACTCCATGTCACCTCAGTGAAAGAGCATCAGATCAACTCCCTGCTGGACCATAGACACACTTTCAGAGCAGCACAATGAAGGGGGGGGGAAGCCAAAGGTCATGAAGGTTGAAACCAGTTCTCTGTGACATCTTAAGCTTCAGGGAAAATGTTTTCATTATGTCATGGAAAGCCACAAACTCTGATATATTTTATTGGGATTTTTATGCTAAAGACCACAACAAAGTAGCCAATAATTATAAAGTCGGAAAAAAATTTTTACATTTTTTAAAAAGTTTTTTTTTTCAGGCCTCCTGAGTCAAAACTTGTAGGATTACAAATTGCAATCCTACAAGTTGCAGTTGTAGAATTGCACAAAATGTGAATTGGATTTAGATCTGGACTTTGACTTGGCCATTCCAACACATTAACTCTGCGTGTTTGGACTTGTAGCACCACTCTCCAGTCTTTTGCAGCCTCCATCCAGCTTCATAATAACGCTCCCCAGCTTTCCTTGCCCAAAACTGTCACCCTATGTTTCACAACAGGAATGGTATGTCCAGCTTTGGTCCTGGATAAGAGTTCAAATACAGCTTAGTGAGATGTTCAAAGCTTGATGTACAACTCTGTAACCACCTGCTCTAAATGTCCCTACAGCTTTAAACTCTGGCACTTTGCAAAATGTTTCCTTGGTTATAATGATGTTGCTTGTTTGCTTATGTCATGTACCAAACCTGTGGCATCTTTCCAGAACAGATGTATTTGCACTGAGCTCAACTTCTATACAGGTTGACTTTCTCCAATAAATAGGTGACGTCTGAGCAGATGGTTCTATTAAAATGTAATAATGAGGTGTAATTTAAAGATGGCTGACATCTGAACACCCCTCTCCTCAGATTATCATTTGTAAAACAGATTAATTTAGGGCTACACAATAAGTGCAATAGAGAAACAGATCCACATTTTCCTCTACCTGCTTCCAACGCTCTGCAATAGCATCATTGGATCTATAATGTTCATCCATTTCATCCACTGAAATGGATGAATATTTCATTAAATTTTTGCAAAGAATTATTGCATTTCAAACAGTCCATTGTGATATTAATTTTGCGTGCACTAAGTCAGTGATAATGCATTTGCTATGCATTTTTCTCTCCTAACTTAAATGTGTTTTTTGTTCCACTTCCTTGTCACAGACTACTTTGCATTGGTTGTTAACGTAAAACTGCAATGTTATAGGTTGAAGTTTGTGGCTGTTATGTGACAAAAAATAAGAAAATGTTTTAAATTTATAAAAACCTTTTCCACATCTGAGAGTGCAGAGCCTTTCCCACCTCCGCACACTCCACTGTGAGTCATTATGTTGCTAATAGCAGAGGGACAAGGCAAAGTTCAGGCTTTTAGAGATATCTTAAGATTTCTAGGTACTAATGCCCACTATATCAGCAGTGGGCTAGTGATGACAGGGTTTGTTACACTGAGAACCAAAATGCAACACACAATCCAACCATTGTGATTTCATGCCAATTCTCACTGCCAAAACTCTCTGCCAGCAGACAAATGGCAGTCAAGAAAGCAGTGACCTTTGCCTCAAAGCTAGGTGAAAAAAAGCAGGCATCTCAGCAGACTTTTAAAAGAGAATAAGAAAGGTTGAATAGATGTTTGACGACTCATAAGCTCCACAGAAAAGTGTTGGTATTAATATCTTTTCCAGGCTTTCAGCATCACAGATGAAGACACTGAGTCTGGGGAAAGCTTCACAGTGTCACAGCCGAGTGACATCTGTGTGTTTACATCCTGCGGGACTAGAGGTGGCTTTGAGGAGAGCGTTTGATGTTTAAAAAGGATGGCGGTTCATACAGTTTTAGAAAATGATAATATCAGAGAAGATACAGAAAAAAATAAAAGAGTGAAAAAAAATGTTTTCAGCTTACCAGAGGAACCCAAATACCCTCGCTCCGCTTCCTCTCTGGGTGGACGTCTGCTTCTTCCTCCTATGGGGTTTTTCTTCAGTCTGGTAAATTCAAGAGAATAAGAAATTTCACTTTAACTCACAACCTCCAGATTTTTTTCTATTATCAGGACTTCAAAGCAGCCAGAAAGGAAAATCCAACCTCCTTTAAAAGATTTCTCAGTAGGAAGTTTTGTACATCTATTTCTTTATACAATGGGCTTACTTCTCTCTATTTGGTTTTTTTACAATCTGCAAGAAAAATCCCTTTCACATTGGAAATCTTTTCAGCCCTTTGTCACATCAAGGGCTGAAATCTTCCATCATCAAAGGCTGTGCCTTTTTTAAAGAACTCATGTAAACTGCAGTGGGTGTGTTGGGTCTTTAGAAATGTGCTTAAAACACACCCGACTGTGAAAAGATTTGTAGGTGAAAAGAAAGTAAACACCCAAGCAGTGTAAACCTGTGTGATTTTGGACTCTCAGACACAAACAGTGTGTAGTCCAAGCTGACAAAGGCCCACAGCTGGCAGACATCTCTTACTCCCGTTGTTCTCTTGTATCACTGATCTCTTCTTTCTTCCAGCTATTTGTCATTCTTCACTGCAATCTTGAACCAATCTTTTTTTTCTCTTAAACTCTTGTTTTCAATTCGAAACACCGCTCCTGTCTTAATTTTCCCCGTCTCCCCTCCTAACTCCTTCTGCCCCAGTGCTACCAGCCCTCCATAGCAATCCTCTTCTCTCACTTGATGCCATCTTTTTCATTTCCTCACCTGCGTCTCGTCACTTTCGCTGCTTTGAGGTTAGGGCTACATGCAGGGACATGAGTGTGTTCAGAGAGTGGAGTGCACTTTTAAGATCGCTGTGAAGATATGGAGGCATGTCTAAAATCAAGTCAATTATTTAATTATTTTTCCCTTTACACACCTATTTATGTAATTTTATGAAAAGTTATTTTGTGCAAGAAATAAGAGATTCTTCAATGATGACAATTTGGAATTGACATAATTATTTACTATAAGTTTTAAGTGCTTTGCAAAAGTATACATACATATAATATGTAATTCACCATTTCTCAATACAACCACATACCTTCACATATTCTACTTATTGTTTATTTGATCTATTTTATGCAATAGATCAAATAAAAGGCAGCACACACTTTGACTGTAGAGCAAAAAAAAAAACCTACATGCTTTTAAGTTTTTTTGCTAATAAAACTGAAAAATGTGAAACTGAATAGATCATTCAATAGCTTCAACATATTTTGAGATAAAACAGCTTCTAGTTCTTGTTCTGCTTGAAGATGAATCCGTCTCCAGTTTTTTACAACCTTTAGAAGGTTTTCTGCTAGAGTTGTCTCGTATCTAACTCCATCCATCTTTCCATTTGTTCTGACCAGCTTTGCTGATGAAGAATAAAAGTCCATAGTGGTGGAGACTATAGCAGTCAATTTTGCTCTCATGTTTGTTTTTGACTTTGAAGTGGATTTATGGCTTTCTTCTAGGAGTTGAAGAGATGCAGTGGATTTTATTTAGCCATATAAAGTGATGTGGGGTCCAAGTACAAGGTTATTTGTGGAATAAAGTTAAAACAAAAAAAAATATATTTAACTTTGACTTGGTGAATCTTATAAAACTCCAAAACACCACACTGCTGTGGTGAAGTTATTTTTGGTTGACAAAAAGTTCAAACTTTCAGTGGTGTATGAATACTTTTGGAAAGCACTGCAAATGTCGAGCCAGTTATCAAAAGACTTGTAAGCACGGAGTTATAAAAAGCATTGCATCATCTCTTTGATCTCCTTCTGTCACTTCTCGCCCACATTGTCATGCTTTTATCTGTCCCCTCCATTCGCTTCATTCCAGCTTTCTGCACAGTCGGCTGTGGGAGATTTGTCTTGACCTATCAGACACCATAGCAAACAAAATAAACTACAAGAGCAGTTCATAAAATACAGTTTCTGTCAAAACAATCTGAAGAAAATTTTTATTGTGTTGCTATTTGTTATGCCCAATCCTCTAGCATCTTTTCCTTACAGTATTTCATGGTGAAAGAGATTGACTGGCAAAATGATTGAAGAACCCAATCCAATTTAATTCTGGAAAAAAAAAACCTTATCGACTTCAGTCTGCCGCTCAAAATAAGAGTCTGGGGGCCCAACAGAGAGAGAACCAGCGGTTCCACATGGTTTAATACAAACACTGGTTTCTGTGCTGTCACACAGGTGCTATTATCAGCTGCAGGTTTGCAGGTTTCCTTTGCTTCAGTTCGCTGCGCGTCCAAAACTTATCAGGAGATCTTTTTTTTCCATTTTCCATTCCCATAACCTTCCATTATTTATTTCAACCAACTGTGCAATTCCCTGACTTCAAGAGCTTAGGTGTAGTTAATACATTTATGCTTAGAAAAAGACAGGAAAAAAACAACAAATATAAAAGGATGTTCTCATAGACTTGGATTTAAGAAGTTTCTGACCCAGATTTAAAAACACTGACATAGAAGCTTTTCTCCTCAAATATCCCCTTTTATTATTGCTGACACCATTGCTGACTTCGCAGCAGTAGAAGTACACACCCACACCGAGGTGTTCTTGTACCGAACCTAATTGATCATCCGTTCTTCTCCTATTGATTTGTTGGATCGTTGTGAAAGGCTTACTGCTGCTGAAGCCTCTAAATAAGACACAGCAATGAAATGACCTTTCTACATCCTGTTGGAGCGATCCAAATCCTGATCCCATCAAAAGCAGCCTCGCCCCACGACGTCGGATCTGCCGTCCCACTGCCCCACCTCTGCCCTCGGACCCCACAGAGCCGGGCAGAGTTCAGTCCAGATCTGCTGCCATGGAGATAAGACGACAGCGATGTGGTAGTGGGACTGAAAATAGCCGGACCGTGTGCTGACAGTGGCTAGACTACAAAACACCTCGCAGTAAGAGACACAGTATTCCTCAATACCTCTCAGATCGCGCTCATGCCGTGAGTAATGCCAGAATTAACAGGCTTTTTAGGAGGCTGAGAGTAAAGCATCTCAGGCCAGTTAATAGAAAGAGCAACACAAACTGATTGGATGAAAGATGCCTTTCGTCTTTCATCTGACAACTTTGTTTTGGTCTCATTTTCGATATTTTGATGTCGCTTCAACAATCCCAAAATCACAACTAGATCAGATTGGTAATCCATTTGTGAAATTTGGGATTTGTTTGGGATACGTAGCTAAATTAAGCTTAAAGATGTCACATCGTGCCCTGATCTAAAGAAAATAAAGAACAGATTAGAAACAAAAAAAATCTTTGAATGATATTAAAATTTGTTTGCTGTTCTGAAACATTATAACAGTGATAAAAAAAATAAATAAAAACAACTTTAGAGTTTAACACTTAATATTCAAAATTTGTGGATTTTTTTGTACTTATTCAAGGAAAATCTTACAATCCCATTTTTTTGTAACACATGTCTGATTTATTTGAAAAAAAAATATGCGGTGGGAGAAGCAGAAATACGTAGGTGCAACGGTACTGGACTTGCTTTGCAAAACAGCCAATCAAGGAGCGCCATTTATCTTCCTTGGCGCTGATTGGCTGTATCCCCAGGAGCGGCGATAAAGATTGTGAACAGTTTCCATTGCGTATGGATGCATATTTGGTATTTAACTGTTATAATCAGCAGTTTTAAGCGTTCTTAGAGGGAGGCCTGTATTTAAAAACTTTAGTTATTCACAGGTGTCTGTGTTCCCTAGCCCTGTTAAATATAAAAGCACTTAATTACTTCATTGCAAATTGTTCAAACCTTCATTCTGAAGAGTTTTTTATTTTTTGCCTTATCTTCAGGTGAAGATACCATAGTTTCTACGTACAACAGAGATGGTTCTTTATCCCTTCAGACTCTCCATTGTAGCTGGAGGACAGTATGGTCACTGATCATCACTTAGATGAAAACTTTAAAATCAGCACTTTTTAAAATCCCTGTAGACCTGATACTGGTAGCCACTCAATATTTAATGTCAACAAGTGTTTCAGTCATGACTCACTGCAGATGACGCCATGTGCTTTGTTCTGTAATGATGCTTGCTTCATTGGCGATTTTCAAGTCAAAATCAAAAACTTTTACATACTCAAACTGGACAGACAGACGGATGGATCTAACTTCTCCTTACAAACCATAGTATTTTTTTATTCCTATTCTTGCTCAGATCTAGAAAACACTTAAATCAAGTTCTACACATTTATCTTTCAAAGCTGTGCTCTTTGTGTGTGTGTTTATGTGTATAAGTCAAATGAGTGAAGGAGGTTCAACACCAGCCATATGAGCAGACTGTGTGTTTAAATTTAGTCTTGACTAATGAGAGGCAGTGTGGACACAGAAGAAGCATCATTAAAGCCAAAAATGAGTGAAATAATTAGAATGAGAACGCTCTTTCTTCCACAGCGAGGACTTCAGAAGAGCCGACGTCTAGAGACACAGAAGGTTCTGCTTGGCATTAGATGTATAGAATAATCAGAATGAGAATAAAGACGGCTCATTATTGCCTTCTGTTTTAATCTAGAAATTATCTAGAAAATCAACTACGACAAAGCTTTCTGCCTCAAAGTTCAGTCTTAAATTTTACAAGTTTAATCTATAATAAACATAAAACATCTTTAAATTAGACCCTGATAGAACCTTTTTAATATAAACGTATGGACATTTTTCTTCTAAACCAGTAAGTATCAACTCACCATCGTACGACTTTATGCAAGAAGAAAGTGCTTTTGTATGCCACCTGCAGATCCTTCGGAGCATCAACACTTTTACTTTTTACATAACAGCGACTGCTTGACCTTTGAGTAACAAACAGGAAACCTCACCTTTATGTCTGTATATATCAGTTGGGTCAGATCCTGTCAGCTTGTGCGTTTGCTGCATGAGAGGGAAGTTCGTTGCTCATAATCCCAGCCGCTGTGTATTCCTCGACGTATCTGCTGTGACTGAGTGACAGTAGAGAGAGGAGCTGTTTCCCCTCACACAATCAGCCTCCACTAACACACCCACCAGCCCTTCTCCTCCCCCTGCTCCTACGA